ACTCTTTCCAAAAACATATTGCCTTACAGTATCAGTTTTGGTAGTCCAGTTTCCAAAAGAGGTGTAGCACAATCATGACAAGTTTCTGTGTTCTCCTCACCCCAAACTTGCTTTTTTCCAGCAGTTATTTTTCTTCTCTGACACTGCTGAAGGCACCTACCTGATATCTCCCACTAAGAGATGTTTCTCCTTTTGCTCAGCCAGCAACTCCAGGAGATAATTTCCTACACGTGTAGCATTTCCTTGGAGATCTTCTTTTTCTATTACGTCCAGCACAGCCAAACCAATAGCACAAGACACTGGATTGCCTCCAAACTGGTAGCAAAGACAAACGAGGGGAGGAAAAAAAAAACCAACATCAGAAACACTCATCTGTGTGTATCGATGTAGTTTTCACTTGCCCTCTCCTGCGTGGCACGTCGTGAGGCAGAGCTTTTGGGGCAGTGCAGGCTGTGGAGCAGGGTTCCTCACACTTTGGGCAGTGTAAGAAGCCCAGGGGAGGGGCTCCCTCTTCTTCCGCTTCGGGTTTCAGTAATTTGAAGATTTCACAGCTGAAGCGTTCAAGCTGCTCTCATGGTTTGTGACTGCCTGCGCAGTTCAAGCTGCTCTCATGGTTTGTGATTGCATGCACGGGCAAAATGCTCCTGTGAAGAGCAGTTGGTGATAGATCTGATATTTCTTGAACAGGAGGGTATGAACTCTGTTGAAAGGAGGATTCGTAGCAACTGGGAAGAAGGCTCCGTCACGGGAGCAGAAAGAGGGCTCGTTAAACAAGAAGAAAGCTGCTCCTCTGTGGCATGCACACAGCTCAAGTGTTTCCTGGAAAAGCGTCACTGTTTTGTTCGGTGACAACTGCAAAGGAAGATCTGCCAGGGCACGAGCCCTGCCAGCACAGAGCTTGTCCTAGAAAATGAAATTCTACATAGTCAGCATTTCGGGGGTGGGTAGAGAGAAGCAAGAATCTATCTGATGGGCTCATGGCATGCCAGAGAGCTACTGCTGGTCTGACTCTGTTGAACACCACTCCAAACACCACTCCAAACAGAGCATATTTCAAAACTTTTCCACTTGCTTTTAGGCATTACACTGTGATTGACTCGGGCTCTTAGTCATGTGATGGATGTGGATGTTAGCTGAATGACCTGAACAACTTCTAACTCTTCAATGCAGACCAAAAGAAAAAAAAAAGGCAAATCTTCACCTATGAACTTACTGTATTGAAATACTCCAGCCCGGAGGCACCGAAACTTTCAGCGATTTCTCTTGTTGTGACCACACAAGACATAGGGTGACCGTTGCCAATGGGCTTTCCCATGGTGACGATGTCAGGCACAAAATCTTCACCTTGCAGCTGGAATGCCCAAAAATGCTTCCCAACTCTGCCAAAGCCAACCTGGACCTCATCGGCTATGAACACTCCACCCGCCGCACGCACGTACCTGAAAACAAGGAGAGTAGCTTGAGTAACTAGTGCTGCCGTACACGTCTTGGGTGGGCAGTCTAGGACAAGGGAGCTTGTGTTACAGAAATTCTCTGGTGTGAGACCAGGTTAGGAACAAAAGAAAGAACGTGGCTGCTGAAACACAGCTATAGCTATTTCAGTTGAGCGAACTAAAAATTTTATCAATGTTAGGAAAAAAAATAGTCTGATATTTTGATGCAAAATAAGGCTACTGTAATGGTATGACTGGGTTATGTCTACGATGGTTCAACTTCATCTTTCATCAAACTTCTGGCCTGAGGATTAAAGATAGAAAAGGAAAGACGATTATCCAGCTAAAAGCCATTAAGTCAGCTGGTGATCCATATAAACAGAAGTGGAATCCTACTCTTCAAAAAGCAGAAAGGAACCACAGACAGTCAGGAACAAGAAAAGGTTGGTAGCTGAATTGACTGGATAAGCCCATAGTGAAAAACCTGTTTCTTTGGTTAATTTTCCAGTTCTGCCCTTCTGAAGTGATGTACGTACTCTGCCACTTTCTGGAAATAGCCCACGGGTGGAATTACTTGGCCCCCACAGCTCTGCATGGATTCGGCTATGAAGGCAGCAATCTACAAAAAACAAACTGGGGTGAGAGATGGGTTCACCTACTTGGCCTTTGCACAAACATCTAAAACAGTCTAGAAATGAATGTTCAAATGTGTGCCTGAATTTAATCACGCAATGGGTTGGACAAGTGAGGGCTCTTGAGACCAGCTACGGCTAAAGAACTCATTCATTTTGTAATCTGGGGTGCCCAAATTTGCAGTAGCCAGGGCCACCTTCGCAACTGGGTGGGAATACAAGAACCTCCACCAAGCCGTGGCCTGCAGTTGTTGTAGTGGAAGACGCTTAGGGATGTTGCATCAGGCTCCTGGGAGCTCTGTAAATTTATTTACAAATTTCAGTTTCCGGGAGACACGCAATAGCGTTTGCCATTTTCCCTAAGAGGTTAATGAAACTTGCTTAATGCCAAGGCTCTCCAGGAACGGGTATGTGTGGTGATCAGCGTTTTTGTTCAGCCCTGAACATCAGGTAGAGGAGGGGAGAAGCTGAACTGTAAGATGACCTGAGGCTACGCTTTGGGCACCCCTGCCCAATTCAAATAACTACACAAGTAAAATGTCAGCATGAGGCACTTGACAGAATAGGAGAAAAATTCTACAGGTGAAATAATTCCAGTTGCTAGGGATGAAAAAGAGAGTTATTTCAAGTCAGGAAGGACAAAAGCAGCGGATCAGATACACTGGAACATCAAAATTTTGTTTCTTGTCAACAGCAGAGGTCTATGCAGCAGAGAGATGATATTACCCCGAAGTCTCAGCATAAGTCTGCTATTTAAGGGATTGCATCCCCACACCACTTGTGAACCCCTCCCTGAGCATCAAGAGGTCTCTCTGGGCTGGTGCAGTCTTCCTGGAAACAAGGCCGAGCAGTAACGTGTAAAGAACCGTACACTACATTTGAAGAGGCATGCTACGGCCAAAGAGTACGAAGCTTCCCATAGCATGTGGGGCTTAGCCTTTAGCACAACTTGTCCTGCCACAGGTCTATGTCACCAAAACCTAAGAAATAGGCAAAAGAAAGGAAACAAGGGAAGAAAAAAAAACAAACAAAACTATCCGTTAGTAGAGAATAAAAAAAAGTTGATGAAGAAACTAAAAGAAGAGTGATGTAAGTCCATTGGACTAGAAGGGAACATGCTGTTCCAATCTCCACTGAAGTCCTCTGTGACTTCAGTGGGCTTTGGATCAAGCCCTACGTGTCTCAAAATGCTAATGCCATCATACAAAACATTAACAAACATTTTAGGCAAGCCTGCTCAGAAACTGCCTGTTTTTCTCAAGGTCATCTGGCATACAATTGAAAGTTTCACCTTTTTAGACAAGTCCCAAGTTATCTTAAGCTACGAGGCTCGGAAATGTAGTATCAAGATTTTATCTGGCATATTTTCTCCATCCTGGAGACTTTAATATATCCTTGCTAGAATCTGTGATGCAGTTTCTCAGCAGACCTCAAAGCTTGCCCTAAGATATTTACAATCTATGGATTTAACACATGAAATAGGAAATTCAGGTGCTTTGGTTGTATCTGCTTATTTACAACTGTATTACTGATCCTCTTTGATGCCTATAAAAGTTACGGTAAGAGCATCAGGTAGAAAAACGTCCCAGTTTGAACACAGAACCCACCACAGAAAAATGAAGGGCAGGGGGAAGCAAGGGAAACTGAGTAAAGAAACGTGTCCTTAGTTGCCTGCTTCACGCCCTCTCGCCACACAGTAGGTGAGGCCTCAGCGTTTCTAGAGCACAAAACACACCTTACGCCCATTCTTCTGGGTTTCTTCAATAATCTTTTTCACCTCTTCAGCATAAGCACTTGCGGGGTCTGGGTGGTCTTCCCTGTATTTCCCTCTGTAGATATCTGGAGAAGGAGCCTGAAAAGACCAATATTTTATTTTTTTTCTGAAGCCCATCCTTCTCTGAAACATTTACTTTATTTTCTATTGCTCTGCATTTTTGTCTTTCCACACGGATAGGTAATAGGAGTTAGTACAGCCTGAATGTCTGCATGGAATTGCAAAAATGCTTACAAGGAGCTTAAACTCAATCCAGCCCTGTGATGCGTTCGACATTACTTGATGCAACTGCTGAAAGAGCCATCATCTACCTCATCCACCTTTCAAGACTGTCCCTCCTCTCCCCCAGGACACAATACTGATTCCTCATCCATCATCTTATTTCGGATTCTTGCAGAAAGATCCATTTCTGCAGCTGGAGAATAGGGTTTTCCAGTCTGTCACTTCCAGCATCCCAGTTGTGGTACGGATCCGTATGACCTTCGAGCCTCTACAGACGGCGTTGGGAGAGGTTCAGTAAGCAGGAGAAAGGAAGTGGTAGACACTGCTTTGGCAGTGTGGTTAACACAAGGAGGTCGAGAGAGGAAAGACCTGCTTGGTGTACATCTCTGGGCTGAGAATGCCTCTTTTCTTTGCAAAATACACAAGCTGGGGCTGAAAATCCAACAGTATCCTGCTCAGTTGGACACCCCTGAGCTCTACACCCAGACCTGTGCGAACCTGTGGGGTCTGCCTTTCCAGTCTTTGGAAATAGACCCAAAAGTCCTTTGGCTTTAGCCAAACCAACACAACAGGTATTGGCTACTTTCTTCAAACTGTGTAACTATATGGAGCAGTGACTCAGGAAATTTGAAGCACTATGAGGGAAATCAGCCTCACAGCTGGATACCCTCTTAGAAATCCCAAAGCAAACAATTTTGCTGTCAGTGGATTAAATACAGGAAAAAAAAAAGGATAAAAACCCAAACCATATAAAGATATTATAAAATAAATTTATAAAAATAATGTAATATTTATGAATATTTTATATAAAATATATGCTTATACATAACATTATGATTAAATTTTTATATAGTGAAATATAAATAAATATAAAGGGTAAAGAAATAAGAGGATAAAAAGCAGCCAGGTATATGTACTCTAGCATCAGCAAACCAGAATGAAAGTATAATTACACTGCAAGTAGGTAATTCAATATGCTGCGTTAACAGGCATAAAAATGACAAAAAGAAAAAAAAAGAAACCACCCCACACTTACCACATGCACAAACTCCTTCTTGCTGTCCTTTCCCAGCTGATTAAATTTATAGGGGCTGATGTCAATCAGAGATGTTACGTGTCCATGGTAAGCACTGCAGGGGTGTTAAAATATCGGTCACTTTTCCCCAGATGTACAGGAGAGCTAAATTTACAGCATTCCCCGTAAGTAATCCAGAACGGGAGACGGTATCTGCGCCACAGTAGCGCTGTGGGTGGGGGGATGTTGATCTGCTTTACTCAATCTTTCTCTCAAAGGCAACACAAAATTCCTGTTGACTAATTCACCACCAAGACTGGAACCAGGAGGGAGTTTTTCTTGCATAAAGTCAAGTGCCAGCATGGGGACACACCAAGATGATGTCCCCTGGACCGCACCACCCCCAAGGTGGCTGCCCTAGCTGCCTTGCCCAGGCGTTGAAGGGTCCAGCTCCCCCCTTTCCAACCCCAGCTTTGCAAGCTAGACCCCAACACCCCGGCAAAGACTCCCAAGAGCGAGCTTTGCGTCGGAAGGTGCGGATCTTCTGCGGCAGCAGCGCACTGCTACCCGAATACTGTTTGAATATAAAAGCTTTTTATTGTAGAGTATGCTAAAACTGGCTACTTCTGTGGCCAGCTTCATTTGGAAATAGGGAAACAGAGCCTTTGGAACCCAAAGCATGCAGCAGCTTCATTCAGGGAATAAACAGCCGTAAAGTTGAAGCAAAGGGAACTTCAAATCAAATCAAAGACATGCCACAATCTCATAGTAGCACACACATAGGGTAGAGAGGATGGTTTTGAACTCCTTTTGTCTTTTTTCACACCTTCCTACTAGTCAGTCCACAAAATCTGCCCAAAGCAAGCCCATCCCAGAAAATCTGGGAGTGGTAGCTATGGCAAAAGCCTACAGAGCCTTGGGACCTGGGCAAAGAAATACCCTGTGGTGGCCAGGAATACAAGACATTGCAGTGAAACAGTGACCCAGCTCCATCCTCAGCCTCTCCTGGTAGAAGCTACTCCCAGTGGGTCCAAATCTTGGCCACGTGAGTCAAGGAGGGCTAACGGGGATCTGAGCACGGCTGAGTCCAACAAGCTTCGAGCTGATCAGATACAGACACAAGCTCCTGCAGTTGCTCTGGCTGGGCTTTCTAATCACAACCTGAGAAGATCCAACCCAAAACAGCAGTGTAACCAACCCTACAGCTGCATCTAGGGTAGGGAAACCATCTAGGGTGGTGTGGTTGGCCACCTTCCCCATCCTCATTTCGGAGCTGCTTGGGTTCGTGTGCGCGCTTGCGTTCGCTGCAGAAGAGCTGAGCATCGATGCAGCACCACTGCGGAGCTACAGGATCTTTCTCCTTGACCACTGAGTATTTAGTTGTGCTAAAATAAAGAGCCTGAAAGCCCTTTTCCAGAGCAGTCCCGTGGCCAGACCACTCGTTGACGCTGAAAACCAACATTCAAGTCTCTGGCCTGAATTGCTTTGGGAGTCTCCATGGGAAATGCCCTGTAACAGGTGATTGACAAGCTTATTTTTCGGAGATCTTCAAAACTTGTTTTTATCCAAATGTGGAAAAGGGATTTCCTGACCTGTCCTAGTAGGAAAGTAACAAAGCTTTTCTTTCAGCAGGCAGTGGAGTACAAGCAGCAGGGGGTTGCTGCAAAGCCGCTTCGGAAGTACCGGCCGGAGTCGCCGGCTGCATTCACACAAGTGACTCTCCGTACTTACTTTTCCAGGGTGATCACGTCTTGGTGCCCACGGTACTGCCGAGCCAGCCGTAAAGCAAGATCATTTGCTTCAGACCTGCATAGTAACAGATACAGCCGCAGAACAGTGAGGAAGCGCTTCCAATGAAAATGGTATTCTGACACAGAAGGGGAGGCACGGGACCAGTGGATATAGCAAGTCAACGCTGTCACTATACGGGTTACACAGCTAAGGTTGGGAGTGTGAATGCCACGTAAGAGGGCAAAGAAAAACCAGCTCTTTGTGTCAAGAGCAAACAAAGAGATGCTTTCTTTCCCTCCCCCATTTTGCTTGTAGACATTTACCTCCTCTTGGCACAAATCGGACTGTTTTGCAGCCGCAAACCCTCGGAAAGCAACAGCACGGTTAGAGAGAGTCCAGAGGAGGCTCTGGAGATGCTCCGAGGGCTGGAGCCCCTCTGCCATGGGGACAGGCTGGGGGAGTTGGGGGGTTCAGCCTGGAGAAGAGAAGGCTCCGGGGAGACCTCAGAGCCCCTTCCAGTGCCTGGGGGGGCTACAAGGAAGCTGGGGGGGACTTTTTACAAGGGCAGGGAGTGACAGGACAAGGGGTAATGGGTTTAAATGGAAAGTGGGGAGGTTTAGATTAGATATCAGGAAGAAGTTCCTCCCGCAGAGGATGGGAGCACTGGGACAGGTTGCCCAGAGAAGCTGTGGATGCCCCATCCCTGGGAGGGTCCAAGGCCAGGCTGGATGAGGCTTGGAGCCACCTGGGCTAGTGGAAAGTGTTTGGAATGAGACCAATGGCAGGGGGGTTGGAATGAGATGATCTTTAAGATCCCTTCCAACCCAAACCATCCTATTCAAGCACTGATCAATCTGTACAGAACATTCACCAGTTTTCAGTCTAATTCGCTTTTCTTGCCTTTTTGACCCGTTTTTTGCATAGCGTTCAGCAGCCCAGTTCCGTGTTTTGGCTCTCTTGCATTGCGCCCTCACACTAAGGAATAGGAGGAAGCATCCTTCAATCCATAGTGGAAATACTTTTATTACTAAGTCCTAAGATTTAGGCCAAGCTGTTCTGAGTGTCTGTCTCAAATGGGAGGAAAATAGTCATAATAGAAAAAACTGAATCTTCAGACATACCCGGAGTTAACAAAATAGCAAACGGAGAGCTTCTCGGGCAGGGTGGCTGTGAGACGCTGCGCGTACTGAACGAGGTTGTCGTGCAGGAACCGGGAATTGGTATTGAGCAGTTCCATCTGCTTCGTCGCAGCCTTTATCACGTAAGGATGGCTGTGGCCAACTAAAGCAGAAAATAACGGGTAGGAAGCAGTCAGTTACGGAGCCACACGAGATGATTCCGAGCAGCGCTGCGAACATCATCACCGGGAAGAAGCGCCTTCTGATCCCTGTGGGAAACGGAGGAAGAGAAGCAGGTACACAAGTTAAACCGCTCACCGTGTGCAACGTTGTTGATGCAGTCTAAGTATTTTTCTCCTTTCTCATCGAACATGTACTGGCCCTGAGCACGCACGATCTTCAGAGGGTCCTTGGCAAAGAAAACTTTGCAGGAAGGCCTAAA